GCAGGGAGTTGCCATAACTGCTGAGAGAAAGGAAGAGCCAGATGTACAGACCGGAAAAAGCCCCTTTGCAGGTGGAGGTGGACATAATTAATGGAGCCCGGTGAGCAAGCCTGTACACGCCACTGTATCAAATCCTTGTTCTGAAGAGCTGCAGTCTCACCAGCCCTGTCCCTGAGAAAGTGGAGCAAGAATAGCACGAACTGACGTGCCAAGCAAATGTACCACAGGAAATCCTCCTAGGCCAGGGGTTTGGTCAGAGGCCCTGGCCCCTGTGGCTAAAATCAGGATTATGTCTGTGCTGATTTACTTCCCAGCTGGGTTTCAGGAAAAGCCTCAAAAAGACCACTGGATTGTGTTTGAGATTGGCAGGCCAGCCTCCCTCAGGTCCTCTCTTTCTGGACAAAGGGCTAAAGCGAAAGGAGATACTCAGAGGAAAAGGCCCCCCTCTTTCTGGACACCCCCCCCAGCTCTAGTTTCAGACAAGAGTATTTGTGTGGGCTAGAAAAAAAATCAAATGCCTTTTACAAGTTGAGCCCCAAGCAGAGCAAGTGCCAGCTTTGCTAGAAATGCCCAAAGAGGTTTGATCCTGGACTAGTGGCTCTCAACGGAGATGCTATTGTTGGGTTGGAAATTTGTGGGGAAGTAGTTTTGGCTGCCACGGTGACTGGGGGTCACCTCTACTATTTAGTAGTCAAGGACTAGAAGTGTCAGGCATCTGCAATGCATGTAGGGACAGTCATGCACAACAAAGAATTGTCCTTTTTTCTTTGCAACTTTTAATTGTCCCATTGAACGTCCATGTAGACAAAAAATCATCAGCGCCCAGGGCTTAACTTTATTTTGTCTGTGAACACAAAAGGTCCATTTCGTTTTCACAATGTTGATGTACAGTGTAAATGTAACATTTCCAGGAAGGCACCTTGACTAAGAACTGTTGATCACTTTGGTAAATCATGTGGCCTGGGGTAACGCTGCTCAAGGTGTTGGAATCACCAGTGCAATGTACCTCCATCCCACCTCATTTGTTACTGTGGTCTTTTTGGTAATTCCACAAATAGATGCAAGCATTTGTCTACTTCATTGTGCCATCTTATTTCATTGTGCCCAAGCATTTACATAGAAAAATGCATATTATTTTACTACGCATGACTTTTTCTTTATATTACTAGCAAAGCATTAAGTTGATATGGAGGAAGAAGTTATGGACGTTTGAAGGCTGCATCATCTATAAATTTCTTTTTTTTTTTTGGTACCGGGAATCAAACTCAGGACCTTGCACTTGCCAGGTAGGCACTTGTGCCACTGAACTATATCCCCAGCCTATAAATTTCTGTTCAGGATGACAAGGAGGTGTTACAAAATCTTCGTTGTAAATGGAGGATGGTGCCATGGGCAAATTCTGACACGTGCTCCAGTGTATTGGATGGATGACAGTAGGCTCCTGGAGTGGAGTTGCCATTTTACACCATCTCTGCCCTGGATTTGTAGGTCTGCACCTGTTTCTCTGGATCAGAGAAAACTTTTCCCAGGGAGTGTCATTATTTAGAGAAATTTGCTGTATTATAGGTGATACTAGTATTTATAACTCACAGGTGAAACCACGACTACAGTATTGGACTAGATAACTCTACCCATCATTTATCAAAGCCCCAGGGGCCATTTTTGTTGCAGGAAGTGGTGCGCCTACGCCACCTAGTGGACTGTGGGAAAGCAGCCGATCTATGGCTTCAGCTGATGTGCTCTCCTTTGCAAACAGTAATAGCATGAATAATATCTGCTACAACACACCATCGGTTTATATACATTAACTTATTCAGTGCTCACAAAATCTGTTATCCTCATCCTGTACATATGGAAACGGAGGCACAGAGAAGATAAGTGTCCTGACCTTCTTCAGGTAGCTAGTGAAAGCAGGGCTGGGATTGAAGCCTGGTAGCCTGGCTTTAAGATCGCTGCTCTTAATCATTTTGCTATGGGCTTGCAAGTACTACTCTCTTGGGAAAGTCGAAGACTACACAGTAGCCCTGATCTTATGAACAAGTTGTTACAGGAGAACAGAATGTCAGATAAGTCGGACTCATTCAGAAGTCTGACAAAGTGAATGTTATACACCTGTGTCACAGATATACAATGTAAAGCATAAAAAACAAACGCACACACAAAATACAGTAATTCCTCGATTGTACTACATGACTGTACACTATTGCACTATATAGTAAGCACACTGTCTGGGGGACAAGTGAGCTACTTCTGTGATTTGTTCATGTCTAGGAATGTTCATCATGCAGGTCTATTCACATCTCAGAAAGTTCACAACTCGGATGTTTGTAAGTGGGGACTTACTGAGTCTGTATACTTGCAAAGACAGAGAGAAAGAAAAGCAAGTTGAGATTTCTTAGGAGATAGAAAAAAAAAATCCTTACCATTATATAGACTATGGAAATCTTTGTGCTACACGGTGAGGAGGGTGTTATTTCGGCAGATCATGGGGCCCTGCAATGATTCCCCACCAGTTATGCTGTAAGACTCAAGAGAGCAAAATCCACATCTCCTTGTTCACCTGGATGTAGTCAGGCTCAGACCTGATGTGTACTCAGTGGAATAAGGGTTTGCGTTTTCGTTTTGCAGTACTTGGGATTGAACCCAAGGCCTTTTCCCTGAACTACATTCCCAGCCATTTATTTGTTTATTTAAATTTGAGACAAGTCGCAATAAATCACCTAAGCTGATCCCAAATTTGTGACCCTGCTACCTCAGCCTCTCAGTGTGCAGGGATTACAGGCATGTGCCACTATGCCTGGCTTGAAATAATATTTTTAACACAACACCTAAATTGAGATATAATTCATATGCCATCCTACTCATCCAATTGAAGTGTACAATTCAGTGATCATTAACAATTCCTCCCAATTTTCTCCTACCTACTTCCTTTCCCAGCCCTAGGCAACCATGAGCCTACTTTCTGTCGCTACAGATTTGTGTATTCTGGACATTTCATTATAAATGGAACCATGCAGTGTGTGGTATTTTGTGACTGGCATCTTCCACTCAGCATTACATTTTCACAATTCATCCTTGTTGAATGCACTAATACTTCATTTCTTTTAATGGCTGAGTAATATTCCTTTGTTTATCTTATCTTTAGTTGATAGACCTTTGCGTTGTGCCCAGTTTTTGGCTATTATGATTTTTTGTTTGTTTGTTTGTTTCCAGTACCGGGAATCAAACTCACGACCTTATGCTTGCCAGGCAGGTGCTGTGCCACTGAGCTAAATCCCCAGCCCCCAGTTTTTGGCTATTATGAATAATGCTGTGAGAAACATTTGTAGATAAATTTTTGTGTGGATATGTGTTTTCATTTCTCTTAGGTATATTTCTAAGAGTAGAATTGCTAGACTGTATGGCAATGTCAGGTTTAACCTTTTGAGGAATTACCAGACTTTTCCAATGCCTGTACCAGTCGATTTACCCTGCCAGTACCAATGGATGAAGGCTCCACCTTTTCCACATCTTCCTCTTCAGCGTTGTAATTGTCTGCCTTTTTTCTTATGCTCATCCTAATCACTGTGAAGTGGCTTTCTTTTTATTGTGGTGCAGGTCATTGCTTTTTAAATTATAAATGAATTCAATCCCAGATCATTGGAGCCAAACAAGACCACAGCAATCTTGTGGCCCCATTTATTTATTTTATAGAAGCAGCGAAGGTGAAGAGAGAAGAAGAGATGAGCCCAGGGTCACAATTAGTTACAGAGACAGAACTCATGTTACTATAACCCAATTCGTTATATTAACAGAACTTACAGATTTTTTAAAGAAGCTGAACTAAGGGGGCTGAAGTGTAGCTCAGTGGTAAGCATGAGCTGATAATACAAGGCCTGGGTTTATAAAGGAAGGAATAATAAGCATGAGAAGAAAAGAAAAAGGGTGAAAGGTGTAATCTAAACCTGAGAGAACTGTAGAACCAGAAGTTAATGTGTGAATCAATAACTAACAGCATAACCATAAATTGTCACAGTCGTGGCACTGGACTGTGTCTTAGGCTCAATGCAGAATGAGCTTGTTACATTCGCTTTCTTGTTGAATGCTAGCACGGTGCCTATTTTACAGAGTTGTTAAGTAAGTGTAAAGGGCTATGATCCTAGAGTCCTACATCTAACTAGTGTCTTAATTCACAGACATACCGGGACCACTCCAAGACTCAAGTCCAGCCTCCAAAAACCCTTCCTTCCCTCTAAAGGTTACTCCAAGTAGCATTTCAATGGTGTGAGAATAGTCAAAATAAGAAAATCAGGAATGAGGAAGACATTTATGTAAACGAAAAGGCAATAAACAATGAAGACTAAAAAGTTAGTCAACAATGTAGTTGGAAGTCTCAATACCAGTGTCAAAAATAATTCTTCACAGGCCCATGGTGTGAAAGCTGAATAATAGCCCGAAGCTAGAGTTGCGGTTTCTGCCTGCAACGCTGTGCTCCGTAGCAGCCGGATCTCTGCGGAGGGCTCGCAGGTGGCTTTTGGCTTTGGGATGGGAGCTCCAACCTGGAGCTTGGAGCAGCCACCTGAGTGCTGCCGTCGCCTGCTTCGCTTCGCTCGTGTCCTCCTAAAGTCCTGTGCCGGGAGTGTGGATGACTCATTTCCCTATTGAATAGTTCTATTTTATCTTCGGTCATTGTAATGGTAACTGGGGGAGGCGCGTCAGCGGGCCATCTTGGATCAAAGGTGAGAACAGAGGACCGGTTAGCACACACTTGAGATTTATCCTGAGGTGATGGCCGGAGGGACTTAAATGCAGGTCCTTGGTCAAGACCTCTCAGTCCTCTCCTCTCCCACCTCCACACCCAGCACCTGGTCGGAAAAATAGATTCCTCCAACCCTCCAGGCCAAACCAAAGTTAGTGCAGGTGGGATGGGTGATTTCTCATGGATAAGTGTTCCTGCCCCTCCACGAGTTCCCCAGGCGCCGGTGGCTAAGGGCTCTGCAGAGAGCTAGAGGCGGGGGTTCCGGCGGCGGCCCGCGGGGAGCGGGGTGGCCGAGGGGGCGCGGAGCCGCGAGGGCCCGTCCGGCGTGACACCACCTGGCGGAGTCTCCGGGAAGAGGCTTAAAGGCGCGCGCTATCCGCGCCCCGCGCACTTCGCACTCCGGCGGGAGCCGCCCAGAGCTCTCTTCCCTCTGCCGCCCGGCGCCTCGGGGAGGTAAGTGCCGCCCGCGGAACCCGAGTCGCTGCCGGGTGGAGGCGACTCCGGCCTCCTGGGCTGAGGTCAGGGGGCGGCGCCCAAGTTTTTGTAAGGCCTCGGAGGGCAGCTAGAGCCAAGGGTCGGGAGCGCAGAGCCTGCGGGGCGAGGACGAGGGTGGCTGCAATCAGCGGCCGTCTCCGGGCAGCCACCCCGAGCGGTGCATCGAAGACGGGCACCGGCGTACGGCGCGGGGCGCACGCCCGAGCCCCGGCCCCGCGCCCTGCGCTCTTGGTGCGCTCTGGCGGCGATCCCGGCGAGCCCC